CCCTTCTTGCCCCCGCCAGCCCAGCGGAACCCTGCCTCTCTGGCTTGCCACGAGCACTTCGCCTGGGTGAGCAAGTGGGTGGACTACTCTAACAAATACGGCTTCGGCTACCAGCTGTCCAACCACCGCATCGGGGTCCTCTTCAACGACGGGACGCACATGGCTCTGTCGGCCGATCGGAAGTAAGTGGAGGCCGTGGGCCGCCTGGATGTCTCTGCTCCATGTGGGGGGCGGGAGGGATCTCCTGGCTTTCTTTCTGCGTTGGCCACTGGGCAGCTGCAGGGCACTTAGAACTCAAAGTGAGAAGGGGAGGAGAAAGTGAGTGCGTAACAGCAGTCTTCCCTCCCCAGGGGCTGGGCCGAGCAAGGACTAGCATGGCTACAGGCCCATGGGGAGCGGGAGGCAGTAACTGTACACGCCAAAGGGTGTGAACTCCAAGGAGCACATTCAGGTCCCAGGGGATACGACTGCTCCATCCCACGAGTCTCATGGCTGCCGGAGACCTGGCTGGCTGTGAGCCCTGTTCCTAGACTCCAAGCCGGCTTGGGCTGGGCCGGGGAGCCAATGCCTTTCTCCCCAGGTCTAAGATCAGACTCTAACAGGGCTGCCAGCTCCTCTCCTCCGCAGGGCCACTGTCCTATGGGAGCAGCACCAAGACTATTGTTGGCTTTGCCGCTTACACTAGACCCCCCCACCCCCCAGCCAGCTGAGGGTGACTTGGGCTCCCCCCAGTCTGGAACCTGATGGTGGAGCCCATGAGTATTGCACTGGTGGCAGTGCAGGGATGCGCTGCTGGAGACGGAAGCTCACCTGGTCTCCTCCCCTTCACAGGATGGTACATTACAACCTGACCAACAGCAAACACTTCGCCTTTCCCATGTCGGCCATCCCAGAGCAGCTGCGGAGCCAGACCGGCGTCCTGCGGTACTTCGCCTCCTACATGGAGCAGCATCTCATGAAGGTGAGTGGCCCCCGGGCTGTCCAGCAGCAGGTGCTGGAGGGGCGGTCTCCGGGCAGAGCGCGCTCACTTGCTGAAAGGGGGAGCCTGCCGCTCAGCAGGTGGCATTGCATAACTACCGGGAGACAGGGCCGGGGGTGCTCCCCGGGAATGCACCGTGGGAGTCCTCCGTGGGGAGCTCAGCTGGTGGCTTGTGCCTGGCCCAGGCGCTGTCTAAAGCTTCACCGCAGCAGAAACCCGGACCCAGCGCATGGCGGAGACGCTAGCTGGCTTGTCCTTGGCCCGGCTTGCAGAGGCGGCCGCTCGGGCAGGGATCAGCGGCTAATGCGGATTCTTCTCCTAGGGGGGAGACCTGCCCAGCATCGACGAGATCGAGCAGCCTGCGCTGCTGCTCTTGCAGTGGGTGAAAACTGACCAGGCCTTGCTGATGCTCTTCAGCAACGGAACGCTCCAGGTACGTGTGGGGTCCTGTGGCTCGAGGAGGGAAGATGGCGTCTGCCTGGCTGGCCGGTCCCTAGGTCTCTGGGTAGGGTTCCCAAGGCTGGCTCTACAGAGCTAGCCCCCACGCCTCTGCTGATGGCGGCTTTCAGTGCTTCTCCACTTACCCCAGAGAATCTTTCAGGGCTGGAGTTTTCACCCCAGGGCTTAGGAACCAGTTCTAGTTACGGGGGATTTCTTAGTCTTCCCCCAGAGCTCTGGGGCTCCTAGGCAGAGACACCAGCCGCAGAGCACCATCCGCTTGGTCTCTTGCTCGGCTAACCTCTTGATTGGAAGCCTTTGTAAGGGGAAGGGGGCTCCTTGGCTGAGTAGCCCACCCAGGGCTTCCCAGCATGGGACCCTTAGCCACGGGCGTCCCTCCCAGCTTTCGTTAGCCTGGAGGCCCCCCTGCTGCTGGGCCCAGCCGTGGCACGTGGCTGCCCTCCTGATCGTGGGATGGGGTGTGGAGCAGGCAAAGCTCTGTCCCAGCTCAGGGAGAAGGGGCTGGTTGAGGCCTGAGGCTGGAGAAGTAACTCGACTGTCTCTCCTAGGTGAACTTCTACAATGATCACACCAAGGTGATCCTCAGCAAGCCAGACCATTCCTGTCTCCTGACCTACGTCACCAAGGACCGCAACTCCTACACCTACAAGCTGAGCAGCATCCAGGAGCTGGGCTGCTCTCCAGAGCTCCAGTACCGGCTCAAGTACGTCCTCAAGCTCCTCCAGGAGAGGGCCGACACCTAAGCTGAGGCCATGGGAGAGGCCTCCTTGGATTCGAAAGCCTTCCCCTGTCGTGTCAATGGAATGAGTGACCGCGCTGGCTGCCCACCAGAACTTTCCTGCCGGGCGGAAGGAACTTAGATAGGGGCATCTGGATATTTTGGCTTATCAGCAGCTGGCCTCAGCATCGTTCATCTTGGGATGCCTGCCAGCTGTTTATACTGAAATCATTGCCCTGGCGTCTGTGAGCTGACTGCTTCAATCCATGGAGGAGAAGGGGAGGTGTGTGTGTGTGTGGGGGGGTGAAGGTACACATCCAGTTTACTCCTGTGTAATCTTTACACAGCTTAAGTCGTACACGTGGTTGGGAAGGGGAATCTCCGGGGGACAGCTCTTCCTTCTCCTCCTGTGCAGAGCAAGCTGAGGAGAGAAGGAACAAACCTGACTTTTAAGGAGGAGAGAAATCTTTGGCCATTGTCTAAATGTTAAGAGCCCCATGCCTGTCTGGCCTCAGAGCTGGGGGGGGGAGAGCTGAGAACCCTGCTCCATCTGGGCTTGGTTAGAACCTCCCTGCTCCCGCCCTGCCTGGCCATGTGGGGGAGGCTCCTAGTGAAACCTGCCCAGCCTGTGGGTGGCTGGGGTGAAGTGGAAGCTGCTTAGGCCGAGCTGCTACCCTTAGGGACTCTTCTGCAAGGGCGTCGTCCATGTCCCTGTCTGGCTCTCGGGGTGGGCATGGGATCTTGGCTAAAGCGAGCCTCTTGCCTAGAGGCCTGAGAGCTGGATGGGGGCTGGGGCCCCCCAGCAGGGGTGGGAGAGCCTGCTGTGCTGTGGGGCAGACCAGCCTACCAGGAAATACTTTATTCAACTTGAAAAAAGCTGAGCGTAATGCTCAAGGTGCAGCCAGAGCCTGATGGCTCTGGCGCGGGGGGGAATGATGATGCCTGTGCTCGCTCTGAGGGAGGCCGTGGGGTGTTGCCATCTTACCACTGCCAAGAGCTCTAAGGCAGAGCCTTTGTCAGCCCAGGCTGGCCCCCCTTCTGGCCATGTGTGGGGAACAGGAGCCCTGCAGAATTGTTACACTAATGAGGGGGCGGGGTCCTCGGTGCGGGCGCATCCCCTGCTTGTCTTGCAGCGTGCGCCAGGGAATGTGAATGGCCACGGTACAGACACAAAATGCTTTAAGGGACCCCACGAGCCCTCGGCCAGCTGGGCCCTAAACAGGGTTGATTTTTTTTTTTTTTCTTGTTTCCAAACACCGGTGCTTTGGCCTGATGAAATTATTTATGTATTTGTATTTATAGTGAATTATTTATTTCACCCCTTCCTTGGTCTCCTGTCTGTGCAGGGCCCCGTTTGCTCTGTCCCTCGCTCAGTAATAAAAGTGTTCCTTTTATAAAACACAAGGGCCTGCTACCGCCCTTCTCTGTGCCTTCTTGGGCAGCTTGGCCCTGGAGGGGGCAGGGCCATCTCACGCAGCAGGGCAGCAACCTTCAGGCAGCCCCGGCTCGAAGATGGTTGCCTGTGTGCATGTGCACTGAGGACATTAACCTTCCCTAGGCAGACGACTCGCATGTATCCTCCAGTTCCTGG